TCTTTGATGTCTATGAATGTCTGTCTGCCTGCACGCGCACTGCCTGCATTCCTGGTCCTCTCGGAGGTCAGAAGAGGGTGTTGGATCTCCTGAGACTACAATTAAGGATGTTTGTGAGCTGCCATGTGGGTGCTGGGGACTGAACTCATCTCCTCTGAAGAGCAGCAGTTTTAACTATTAGCCGGCTCTCCGGCCTGATATTCAGATTTTGATGCTGGAAGTCAGTTGAATACACTATAAATTTACTGTAAATTTACTTTGTTTCCTGAAGTTGTGAAACATTGGCCCTGGACATAAAATGGTCATTGTTATCTTGCCTAATAGCTATGACTACCGGCTTGATCAGGCCTGTTACTATATCCTTGTGGAAGGAGGAGGGATGAAGGAGGATCATTAGACTCTAACCTGAACTTATGACCCTCCCAGCAGTAGGCAATTTTCCCCTAGCTATATGAGGAGGTATTGGGAATGTATATGTATTCTAGATATATAAGGTATATTGCGTTATGTATAGAACGTGGAAAATTAGCTAACGGAGGGCTCTACATACGCAGATTGTGGGAGGCTGAAGCTACCCATGTTGGTAGGGGACTTTTCAGTGATAGGTGGTCAATCACACACTTGTGCATAATCCCTCATTTATTCTCCTATAAGTAGGCTGAGTAACAGTAGTGTGTAAACTGGACCTGGGAGCAATTGTCTTCTACCTGTCTTTGGTACTCTTATCTAGAGTGAGTATGTATTTCTTTACGTTTCCCCAGGAAAACTTTAAGAACTGACAACTGAATTCTGTCTTCCTGTCTTTACTCCCTGGCTACCTTTGCCCCCACCCCCTTGAAGAGGTGAGGAGGCAGGGGGACAGCTCCACAGAATGTGCTGCTGTTGACTTGGGAACGGATGCCAGCAGGTGGGTGGCCTCTTAAGCCCCTGCCCTACTGCTTTAACACCCTCTAGTTCTTTGATTTTACAAAAATATATATATAAAGAATCAAGGAGATGGAGTGAATCTTGTTACTTCTGAGGATTCTGCTGGTCACCATAGGAACCGATACTTGAACAAGGGGAAATTTCTTAGGTGATAATAGTGTTCTGAAGTCCGTGTTAGAAAGCAAAAGAGAGGAGAGGGAGGGAAAATAAGCACCACACTTAGGCAGAGGCGCTGGCCTGCAACAGTCTTTCCATCTTCCAACATCATTCTTAATCTCTTTCTTCTGTGTTTTACAGTTTTAATTATAGATGTCTTTAGTATCTTTGCTTAACGATTATTAAAAGGTAATTTTAGGCTGTTTTGAATAAGATTGTTTTCCTGATATCTCTCTTGGTGTGTTTGTCATTGCCGTACAGGAAGACTGTCAGCTTTTGTGTATTAATTTTGTATTCTGACACTTTGCTGAAAATGTAAGTTCTGAGAGTTTTTTGCTGAAATCTTAAAGCTCTCTTAGGTATAGAATCATGTCATCTGCAAAACAGAGACTCTTAACATTTTTCTCCCCTTTCCTTCTGGACCTTTAGCATGATGTGTGGTGGGTCTTTCCAGAAGCTTTTCTGCATCTCTCAGGATAAACTGTAATCAGGGCTTTCTCTGGCCTGTCCCGTCCCACAGCTGCTTCTAAATAATCACTCAGAGGCTTAGTATTAATTACAGAATGTTTGACCTATAGTTCAGGCTTATTATCAACTAGCTCTTATGTTTAAATTGACCCATTATTATTAATCTATGTATTGCCACGTGGCCATGGCTTTTACCAGTCTGTTGGCACCTTGCTTCTTGAGTGGCCAGCTCATGACTCTCCCTTCACCCCACCCCTCTCCTCTCTGTATCTCCATCTGACTTTCCCACCTAGCTATATTATGCCTGGCTATAGGCCAATTCAGATTTTATTATCAACCAGAGAACAACACATATTTACAGTGAACAGAAGGGTTATTCCATAGCAATACACGTGTGGTTTCTGCCTTTGAAACCATTCATGTCCTTTATAGCAATTGCTGATTTATGTAATATTGAACCATCCCTGCATCTCTAGAAAAAAGCCAACTTGATTATGATGAATGATCTTTTGAGATATTCTTGAATTTGTATAGCGAGAATTCTGTTGAGGATTTTTGTATCTGTAGTTGGTCTGTAATTTTCTTCATCTTTGTCTGGTTTTGTAGAAGTAGTTTGGCAACATCTCTTCTTTATTTTGTGGACTAGTTTGGAAAGCATTGGTGTTCATGAAGTTCTGGTAGAATTTACCAGTGGATCCATAATATGTACTGATTTTTTCAGCTGGGAAGCTTTGAAATTCAATTTCACTGCATATTATACTTGTGCTTGAACTGTTGGTCTCATCCTGGGTTAATTTTTATTGGTCATGTGTGTCTAGAGATTTATCCATTCTTAATTTTTTTCAATTTAGTGGAATATATATTTTTAGGTAAGAGCTAATGATCTTCTGAATTTCATTGGCGTCAATTTTAATGGTTTTCCTTTTATCTCTAAATTTATTAATTTGGGTCTTCTCTCTTTCTTTTGGTTAGTTTGCCTAAAGGTTTGCCTTTTAAGTCCAGAAGAAGGAGTCAAATCCCCTGGTGCTAGAATTACAGACAGTAGTGAGCTGCCCAGTGTGTGGTCTTCTGGAAGGGCAGAAAGCACTCTTGTGTGCTGAGGTCTCTCCAGTCCTGCACTCTGTTCTATAGGCACTTAGAGCTATGGATGTCCCTCTTAGGATGGCTCTCACTCTATCTCCTGGGTTTCCATATGTTGTGTTTTCATGTGTATTTCATCCTATGAATGTTTGTATTTCTTCTCGAGTTCCTCAGCTTGTCCAATAGTGTGCTCTTTAGTCCCTGTGAGTTTGCACATGTCCTACGGTCTCTCTTGCCTTTGGTTTGTACTTTGATTCTATTGGAATCAGGTAGAATACAAGGATTACCTTAATTTTTCTGAATTTGTTAAGATTTTCTTTGAACCCTAATAGATGAGATGTTAGAAAAAGTTCCATGGGCTTCTGAGAAAAACATGTACTCTGCGGTGTTTAGATAGCATGGAATTCTATAGACGCCTGTTAAGTCCATTTGATCTGTGATATCATTTCATTGGGGCATTTCTCTGTCTGTTTTTTGATGGGATGCCTGATCAGTTGCTGAGAGTGGGGGTGATGTCACCCAGTGCTTTTGTGCATGGGTCAATCCATGAGTTTCCATCTGGTAGTATTTTATGAAACAGACTGCCTCCGTGTTGTGGGCATGTGTGTTAGAATGATACGTGTTGTAGGCATGTGTGTTAGAATGATAAAGTCCTCTTGGTCGACTTGGCAGTGGTGGTGTGTCCTTGAGAAAACAGTTGCTTAGTTCAGGAGCTCGGGGTGTCTGGCGTAAGCTTTGTATCATTCCCTGTGTAGGATAACTGGAAAAGCAACCACAGCCTCTTGGTAGCACAACTATGCAAGTTTGTACTAGTCAGCGAGCAAGAGCGGCCCCTCTGACTTCACAATCAAGGATAATATGGAGTGTGCATGGACTCTAGTTATTAAAATGAGGGTGGAAGGGAAATAAGGTGGCCAACTGTGAGGGCCAAGATTGGCTTCGGAAAAGAAGTGAGTCAGGTAAAGTCGGTGGGAGGAAGAAGCTGAGACACTCAGGGCCACAGATTGAGAGGTCGTTAAATCTCTGGCAGGCTGTGTTAGATGAAAAGAGGAGGAGGTAAGGATGAAAGAGGAGGAAAAGACCTCCGTATAAGAGCTGGGTCCGTGAGGTGACTGATGAGTCAAGTCTGCCTGACAGTCTACAGGGTGGAGAACACAAACAACCGCCCTAACACCTGTTCCTGAGCAACAGGCGAACAAAAGCAAAAGCACCAGAAGAGATCCATGCAGGGGCGGAAAGTAAATAATAGAAAATAAGGAACAAAAATACTTCCAGAGTTAATTGCTGTCAGCTGTGCTGAGCTGGAATTTCTTGGTTTCCTCTGGATCCCTGGCAGGTTCCTAGTGCTGTGATGTGGGGGAGGGGAGAGCAGGAGCCATTGGTCTCTGCAGGCTCCCCTCCTGTGTTCCTGGGATTTTGCACATGAAAGGGTGAAGTGGTACATCCTTTCCTGATAGTTTCCCTTAGATCCTGTACTTCTGGCCTCTCATGGTTCTGCAGGTCTGGGTTATGTGAGGGGCAGCACTTCCTGAGCCTTAACATTTTAAATATGTGTATACACACACACACACACACACACACACACACACACATATATATATATATATATACATACATATATATTATCTACTACTCAGGGACAGTGATACCACAGTGTTATTAAATTGTTCCTCAGGTCTAAGCAGCTGTTATTGAGCAATGAGACAAGTGAGTAGAACGGGGTGAGGGGCGTGGCATTAGAGGGAGGCTGTGGGAAGTTCTGTGTGTATCTCTGTTACTCCTATCACCTTCCTGCATCCACCCCACAGTTTTAGACACCAGATGGAGATATTTTATGCCCAAAGCGGGGGTCAACTGGCCATTCTTAGAACTACAGGCTGGGTAATTTGTTTGACAACTGGATTAGAAGACTACCAATAGCCAGATTTTTAACCCTATATGATCATGGCTTTTATTTCTTATGTTTTTGTTGTTTGTTTGTTTGTTTGAGACAGCATCATAGCCCACGTCAGCCTCAACTGCACTGTAAAGTGGAAGTGACCTTGAACTGACCTTTCTGCCTCTGTTCCTGAGTGCTGGGCTGCACGCTGTAGTGAAAAAGGCTGTGCCCGAGCAGTTTAGAGCTGGGTGCAGGCGCAGGTCAGCGGCAGAGCCCTTGCCCAGCACACAGGATTCCTTCTGTAGTACAAGGAAGCCGTTATCTGACAGAAACATCTAGCTGCTAATTTGCAGTGAAAAACAAAAAGGAGAGCATCCTTTCGGACAAATCCAGTCTGTGTCAAGTTCAGGTCTGTCATCTTTGCCAACGAATTTGCTAACTCTCGTGGCTTCTCACAACACCCCCTCTGTCCCACCCTCTCCTCCCTTAGTATCTTTTCGCCACTTACATTGCTCCGTCAGCCACTCTGGACATTGGGCTGCAACAGGAAGAGAAGAAAGACATTTACATGAGAATCCAGCCACCGTTTGAGGACCTCTTTGACACAGCCGAGGAGTACATCCTCCTCATCCTTCTGGAGCCCTGGACACAGATGGTGATGTCAGACCAAGTGGCTTACAGAAAGGTACCATGGCCTGGCCAAGAGTGCTGGCAGAAAAGGCTCA